CCCCCAGCTTCCCTACCTGAGGTGTTCCAGCCTGCCCCTCAGTGACCCCGTAGGGGCTCTGTATGGCAGCGGATCCCAGCTCTGTCTGTTGTGGAGCCACCAGGTGGATTCTGGCTGTCAAACTTTAGGTTAGCCTCCAAGCCACTAACTGATGTGCCACCAGGGCTCAGTGTCCTGAAGTGTCACCTGTGGCCCTGCGGTTTGCCTGTGTTGCCACTAGAGGGCAGGGCTGCACCAGACTCCTTCCTGAGGGTGCTGCCCGCCCGCCTGTTCCCGGGCTGGATGCCACATCTCCTTGCCTGTGCCTCGCTTGTCCTGCGTTCTGTAGAGGACAGAGCCCAATTTAATTTCAGCAACTGTGTGTTTTGACTCGTCTTTTCCCACTTGAGTTTCCATTGTAACAGTTGATTTCACGGTGATGTTTGAGTTACTGCTTATCTCAGCTGTTGTCATTGCTAACTGTCCTTGGGCAGACAACTCCCACACACTCTACGTCCCCCTCCCCAAGTCCGTCACCTGTGTAACCCCGCCCCCCCCAGGTCCTTCAGCCAGGCTGTGTCCTGCGCGATCGCCCTTGTGTCCGTCCCCCCCACAGGTCCTTCAGCCGGGTCGGGCAGAGCCGGGTTGACCCATGTATCTCCCCTGGGTCCTTGAGCTTGCGGTGTTGTTGCTCTCTAAAATCTGGCTTCTCTCTGACAGGCATTCAGACAGTAGCTGGTGCCAATTCTTCCCATTCCGGCAGCCCTCCCATAAGAATAACACCTGTCCCCTTCCTGTGCACAGGCCGTACCTGGTGAACCTGCTGCCCTGCCTGACGCGAATCAGCAAGAGGCCCGAGGAATCTGTTCAGGAAACCTTGGCTGCAGCTGTTCCCAAAATTATGGCTTCCTTTGGCAATTTTGCCAACGACAATGAAATTAAGGTACGATGCCAGTTGCCCCACATCACAACCAGGGGAACAGTGGGGTGAGCGGGCTCTGGGAAGTTAGGGTGTGCTGCGTCCCTCTAGAGGCACATGAGAGCTGGGCCAGCTCCTGCTCTCACTGCTTAGAGGGATGGGTGGTTGGGTGCCGTTCAGTTAGTTACAGCCGAACGAAACGCCACCCTCACACAAACTGGTTCTTGGTGTTCGAGATTTACTCCCGCCTGGCTAAGGAGGGGAGCTGGGGGTGGGCTGCCGCTGGGAAAAGCCTGCTGGCATGCAGGCCCTGCCATCTGGGACGCAGACCTGGCCTCCCCGGCTGTCCGCTGCTTCTGCCCCAACCAGTGTCCTGCATGCAGCTTCCCTGTTTGACTTAGAAGGTCTGGAGGCGACCGTATGGTCTGAAGACCACGGGTCTCTGCCTCCCACCCCTGTTGTGGTCAAGCCTGTGTTGGAGACGAAATGGCCCTAGGACGGAGGCTCTCAACCTGTGGGTCGCGCTGTGACCCCTTTGGGGGTCGAAAGACCCTTTCATAGGGGTCGCCTGATTCATAACAGTAGCAAAATGACAGTGATGAAGTAGCTACGAAAATAATGTTATGGTTGGTGGGAGGGGGGGGGTGTCACCACAACCTGAGGAACTCTGTGAAAGGGTCACGGCATCAGGAGGGTTGAGAACCACTGCCCCAGGAGGTGATGTGGTGCAGTACCTAGCCATGGAGATCACAGGTCACCCTCCTGCTGGCTCTTTGCCCTTTTGCAAAGGACTTAGCTGCCCAAAGATTGTCCCTTTGCTTCCTGCCTGTGGGTGGGAGGTCCTCTCCCAGGCGGAGGTCTTGGGCTGTGGAGGCCAGCCCACCGCCAGGCCCACTGCCCCTCTCCTCTGCTTTCCACTGTGCCGCCCCGAGCCAATGCTTCGCCTCGCTCCTTTCCTCCGATCTTCTCCGGTCCTTGCTGATAGCATCCGCCCCAAGCGTTCCCTCTCTGCTCTCCTGCCGCCATCTCATCCTGGGCCCGGTGTCCCTGTCCCTACTTTAGGGGAGCTTCTGAGAATGGCTCATGGGAGATGTGGTATTTGGGATTTTATGCCCCTAGAAAGGCTTTTGTGACCCCTGCACACGGCTGGGCCGGGCTCGGGCTTCTGCCCCTCTGAGTGTGGAGCTGCCTGCAGGCTGACCCCAACGCCCAGCGAGCCCGTCTGCTGGGTTTCCAGGGTTGTTGTCCCTGGCTGGAGGCACTCTGCTGGTGTGGTGGGTTAAGCTAGGCCAGCAGTTCAAACCCCCAGCCGGTCCGAGGGAGACGGGCGGGCCAGTCAGCTTCTGTAAAGATTGAGACCAGCAGACCCCTGGGGAGTCAGGCTCGCACAGCCGCAGTGGGAGGGGGTGTGAGTGTCTCTGGCCCCGCTTCCTAGCAGTATCCCAGCCAGCCCTCTGCACAGTGTTTTCCACACACGCTCATTAGGAGCGTCTTTCTGCTCCGTGGGGCCAGGCCTGGGGTTTCTGGGGACGTGTTCTTTGTGGCCCTGTCGTCTGCGCCCAACGCTGTCTGCGCCTCTTATCTGCCTCCCTTCTGTTACTGCGCCTGCTTAGAGCCTGAGACCCTAAACAGCTGCTGAGAAGCTGGCTCCTGGGCTGAGGTGGGGAGGACGGGTGAGTCCCTAGAGAACTTCTTTCTTCCTTGTCGTTTGAGATTGTCCAGCCAGTCTGGAAAGTGCGCAGTGTGATAGAGGATAGCCACACCCCCTTTCCCCCAAGCTGTGGCCTGCCTTACCACAGTGGCCCTGCTCCTGGGTCTGCCCACTCTTCCTCTCTGTCTTTGAGCCGTGAGCGTGCCACCCACCTCTCTGTGGCGGCAGGTGTCCCCAGACCCCCTTCCTGAGAAGAGCTTGGGTGTCTGAGCCGCGCAGGCTGAGTGCTGCCCCGTCCTCCTCAGCGCCTTTTGTGGCTCTAGTTTGTGCTACAGGCCTTGCCCCAAATCCTGTGGCCAAGCCCTCTTCCCTCAGGACGGCGATGCCGAGTGAGAAGGGTGTCCAGTGCCCCGGTGTCTGCAGTGCAGGAGTGGACGGTAACCTGCTATGTTTGCCTCGGCAGGCACTGCTCAAGGCCTTCATCGCCAACCTGAAGTCGGGCTCCCCAACCATCCGGCGAACAGCAGCCGGGGCGGCCGTGAGCGTCTGCCAGCACTCGCGCAGGGCCCAGCACTTTTACAGCTGGCTTCTGAATGTGCTCTTAGGTGCGTGTGTGTGTGTGTGTGTGTGTGTGCGTGCGTGCGTGCAGGTGGGTCTGCAACCCACTCTGCCAGGCTGCAGACAACAAACCCTCCCAGGCTTCCAGGACAGGTGTCTGCGTCTGCCCACCGGCACTGTGATCTCATGTGGGGCTGCTTTCTACGTGTGTAAAAAGTTACAGTCTCTACACCCACAGGATGTTTCTGCTCATTGTGTGGTGTCTTGGGACCAGGAAAGGCCCTTCCTGGCACAGACTTGGCTGTGTAGGAAGACACTCAGTGGGGTCTGTGGGGCGTCTGGCTCTCTGCCACAGAACTGCACTGCCCAAGCCTGGTTCTGCCACAGGGAGCCCCAGGCTGAGTGCCGCCAGGCCCCTTGTCTGCATGACAGGTACTCCCCAAGTGCGTGCATCTGACTGGGGTGCCACATAGTGCTTTGCTGTGTCCTTGGTGGGCTCCTGTGGATTAATGACATCAGTTGTGCTTCCTGCAGCGTGTGCACACTCCCTCCCGTGGGCTCCACCGCTTGTGTCAGCAGGGGTCCCGGCCCTGCTGCCGCTCTCCTGACCCCCAGGCAGCTTGGGCAGGGCCCGGTGCTGGGGTTCCCGAAGCTGAGCCCACTAGCACTGTGTCTCCAGGTTTGCTGCTTCCCATGGAGGACGAGCACCCCACCCTGCTCACCCTGGGGGTGCTGCTCACCCTGAGGTACCTGGTGCCCTTGCTGCAGCAGCAGGTCAAGGACACGAGCCTGAAGGGGAGCTTCGGGGTGACGCGCAAAGAAGCGGAGGTCTCTCCTACGACGGAGCAGCTCATCCAGGTAGGAGCCTGCAGCCTCCACGGTCCTTCCGCACGCCCGAGGCTCGCCTCGGGGAGAAGAGCTCGGTCAGAGCGTGCGAGTGGGGCTGAGCGGCCTGCACACGCTCCCTTCAGCTCTGTGGTGTCGGGTGGAAGCCCGGGCTCACTCCCCATTCAGTGGTGGTGTGGACCTGTTGTGCATCTGTCCTGGGCCTGAGCAGGACCGTGGAAGCTTCCAGTCACGGGCTGCAGTGCAAAGAGCTGTGAGGGTGCCAGACGGGGCAGGAGAACCTGCTGGACATGAGCTGAGTGGAGGACTCTTGTGGATGCCATTCCTACCTGCCTGTGTCTCCCTCTGCGTCCAGGTCTATGAGCTGACTCTACATCACACGCAGCACCCTGACCACAACGTGGTCACCAGTGCGCTGGAGCTGCTGCAGCAGATCTTCAAGACCCCACCCCCGGAGCTGCTGCAGGCTCTGACCACGGCCGGCGGCCTCTCGAGGCTGACTGCCGCCACCGATGAGCCGGGATGCCGGAGCCGGAGCGGGAGCATTGCGGAGCTCCTCGGTGAGTCCTGCCCACCCTAACCACAGCCCTAAAGGCCTTCCGCTGGGTCCCGGCTCTGGTCCCTGCACTGCCCTCAGCTGAGCTGCCTGGGTGGACTTTGGAGCACATACTGCTGCATACAGCATCCCTATCCGACCCCCAGCAGTACTGAAGTGGGGCACAGTTGGTTGGTGAAGTGGGGCCGCACAGAGTGGCCAGCCTCCCAGCTCAGAAGCACTCCCAGCAGGCCACTGTACTGCCAGCTCAGTCAGGGGTGGAGTGTTGGGCACTCAGGCCCCGTGGCCAGAGATGGATCTTCGTAGTGATTGCAGAGTGGCTGTCCGTCTGCCTGCCTGACTAACCACAAGGTTGGCGGTACTAGCCCCTAGTCCCCCTGGAGAGAGTGAAGAGTTAGTCTCTGCACCCACAGCGATGCTTCTGCTCTTTCTTGTAGGGTCACTATGAGTTGGAATTGACTTGCTGGCAGTGAGTTTGGTTTGATGGATCTTGACTAGAAAACTTGCTCGGCCTGTCTGGGGGCGGCCTGTGCTCCCGTTCCTTGCTGGGCTGCGCCCCTTGCTGCCACCTTGTTCTCACCTGTCCCTTCCTTGATTCACAGCCGGAGGGGGTTCTTCGTGCAGCCCTGTCCTGCCCAGAAAACAAAAAGGTGATTCTCTTAGGGTCAAGCATTGGTGTTGGGTCTTTACTGATGGTGCTGTCTCCCCGATGCACTGGCTCCGGTCTCTGTCCCTGCACAACAAAGAGGTGGTCTGTGGGCCCGGGGGACCTGAGAACGGAGGCTGGGCAGACATGCTTCCATAGCAAAAAGAGTGACTCCCTCAGCAGGTAGTGGTGCTCGAGGTCTGGGCCAGCAAACTTCCCAGAAAGAGCCAGATAGTAAACAGCTTTAGGGTGGGGACCATGCCGCGTGTGCCTGCGTGCCAAGAAAGCTTTATGTACGGAGCAGGCCCGCCGTCGCTGCCTCCTTGGGGGCTGAGTTTGTTTCCCAAAGTTAAGCTCTTCCCCAGGTGTGTGGGCGCATGTTGGTGGGGACTCCGTGGCCAGCTGCTTTGCTGATTTCGTTCCTTTAGTCTGTAACCACTCTGCAGCCGTGCGGGACCCTGTTCCTGTCTGTGCCCAAGGGTCCTGGAACTCTGGCTCGATGGTCAGAACCCCCCAGGGGTGGCTGACAGAATCTGGTAGTTGAGCCTCGCTCCACTTCCTGCCCCTTTTTTCCCATTACCAGCTGTGGATTTCAAATTCATGGGTTGTAGCAGAAAAGAGTTTAGAAATGGCCCATAATTATTTTGACAGTGTCATTGAATTATATGCATATACATGGTAATAATCTAGATTTAATGAGTCAAGTCCAATTGTGTTTAGTTTTTTTATTACTAATATAATTGGGAGGCCATGACCCCTAAAGTGTATTTTTAGAACTGTGCGAACGATGGCCGTGCCTGTCCTCAGTGCTGGGCAGCCAGCTGTGGCGGGCCAGCGCAGTAACAGGGCATGAGAGGTGAGAGATGAGAGAGCACCACCTCCTGGAGTTCCCGCAGGGAGACGGTGGGACTGGTCAAGGCGACTGAGTTTGGACAGTCATCTAAATGCATAGGCCACTTAGTGAGATGCCGTGACCCGAGTCAGGGAGCCCTGCTATGACAGACGGGCACTCCCACGCGATCCCCTGGAGCCAGCAGCCCGAAGGCTGAGGTGGCGGATGTGCAGGACCCCACTGCATCTGGCTCTCGCTGGCCTCCTTGTCCGTGGTGTGACCATGGGAGTGTCTCTTGGTGCACTTTCCCAGGTGGGACTCCGTCCCCACACACTGTGCTGGAGACATGCTAACGCGCACGGCTCTCTTCTGAGTGTGTGGGTTGTTGGGTCCTTCAGTCCTCGTTGGGGGTGCCCTGAGAGAATGTCCCGGCTTGTCCCCTAGGCAAAGTGCTCCTGGGGGACGAGGAGGCCCTGGATGATGACTCTGAGTCGCGGTCAGACGTCAGCAGTGCCACCTTTGCAGGTAGGACTCCTCCCCTGGGTACCGCTGGGTGGCAGGGGCCCCTGGCCTGGGTGCATGGGTGCAGGTGGCAGTGTGTTTCCTGGGAAGGCAGCGATTAGCTCAGGGTTCTGTGATTGTGTGGCCTTGATGTGTATGTTCTTGTGTTTTCATGCACGTTTTTATGCAGCACGTATCGGCTGCTTTCCTGTGTGCTCAGGCCGTTGGGGTCTGCTGCTTCTGGGGGCAGGGACAGGGGGTGGGGTCTCCCCGGGCTGGTCAGCGTGCACAGAGGCACAGTGGTGGCTGGTTTGCTGGCCCCCTTCTAGCTGACGGAAGCACTGCGGGCTGGGCTGAGGGAGCAGGCTGGGGGTCGGCGCCTTCCCAGAAGCACAGCTGGAAATGACTGAATGTGAGGCTGAAATACCAGCAGTGGTGGGGGTGGGGCTAATCCTTTATTCATTTACTTTTCAAAATACAAACAGGCTTTTTCCTGAGTACAAAAATTAAACAAAATTGTTAACCAACACCTGCACACGCGTGCATGCACGACAAGCTCTAGAGCAGCGTTTCCCAAACTTATTTGGTGGACTGCCCCATTTTCAGAGAAAACAGTAACAATGAGATGTGTTTGCACTGCAGCCCGTGACCCAGGAGGAGGAACAGCTAGCTGTCCACTCGGAGCCTCCTGGGCTTGGTCCCACACTCTCTGGGAGAAAGAGGCAGCTTTCACCTCCAGTGGAGGGTTCGTCTTGGAACCCCCAGAGCAGCCTCTACCCCATAGGGTTGCTGTCTAACAGCATCCACCCCGCGGCAGTGAGTCTGCAGTTCTGGTTGGTCATTCTAGGGCACCCCCCACCCCCACCCGACCTTCCAGAGGCAGTATTGCTTGCTTTGGGCAACACTGCTCTAGAACTTCCCCTTCCTCACTGCCCAGCTTGGACCTCTGCCCACACCCGGGTCCTTGCCGCCCCGCAGCCTAGCCCTACCCCTGTTAATAATAAAGCAGGGCCATCTTTCTGTGAGAGGTTTTGGTGTGAGCACTGGTGCATGCATAGTGAGAACACCACACAAACACACACACACACACACACACACACACACACTCTCTCTCTCTCTCTCTCTCTCTCTCTCTCTCTACTTTCCTTCACCCAAATTTACCGTCTGGAGACTAAGACATGGGTGTTCTTGGACCAGGTGTGAGAGATGGAAACACCTGCAGCATCGGGCTTCCCCCAGGGTCATCCAGGCTCTGACTACAAGTAGATCCTCTGGCTGTGCTTCGTGGAGCCCTGGGTACTTTTGAGGCACCGGTCTTAGAGCTGAGTGCTTACCTGTGGGCTCCTGGAAGAGGGGTGGCTTGGTGGCTTTGGCCTGGATCTGTCCCTGAGGAGGCTTGAGGTCGAGCCTGTCCACCTACGCCCCCTGCCCCTGAGTTCGGCCTTGCTGCAGCGAGCTGTTGCCGGGCTGGTGGAGCACCCAAGGGGTCTTGAGAAAGTGCGTGGACGATGAGATGAGAAGATGGTGGGTTGTCCTTGACCTGTTAGTTTCTGTAGAGAGCTGCTCCCTGGGCACTGGCAGGGCTGGCCAGGTCGCAGAGGTTGGGTCAGGAATGCGAAGGGGCCTGCCCTCCGGTGCCCTGCCTCCTTGGGGGGAGGCCGTGAGGCTGTGGAAACCTTTGGCCACAGTGAGTTCTCCTGAAACCCGACCATCTCCTGGCATGATGGTCTTTGTGGTCTCTTGCAGCCTCTGTGAAGGGTGAGCTGGCAGCCACCTCCGGGATGTCCACGCCTGGGTCCGTGGGGTCAGCCGCTGACTCCACAGGCCATGACATCATCACCGAGCAGCCCCGGCCGCAGCACACTCTGCAGCCAGACTCCGCGGGACTGGCCAGCTGCGACCTGCTGAGTGGCGCCACCGAGGGGGACGAGGAGGACATCCTGAGTCACAGCTCCAGCCAGATCAGCGCTGTCCCGTCAGACCCCGCCATGGACCTCAACGACGGCACACAGGCCTCCTCCCCCATCAGCGACAGCTCCCAGACCACCACCGAAGGGCCCGACTCGGCCGTCACCCCGTCTGACAGTTCTGAAATCGTAAGTGGGGCCTGCCCTCTCCCCCAGCTCGCCGGGCCCTGCCTGCATATCACGCTGCGTGCCGGCCTTCAGTGGAGCCAGCCTGTGTCGGGGAGACAGCCCCTAGCAAATCATCACGGGTTTAGCAGGCACAATTGTACAGCAATAATAAGTAAATATTGCAGTAAAGTCATAGAGATTAAGGAGAGATAGAAGAGAGAGTGAAATAATGGAGTCAGACACATTTCCTGGTAGCATGCTCACCTCAGCCCCGCTTGGTGGTACAGGGCAGGAGAAGAGGACGAGGGGAGGGGACAGGGGAGTGAGGACGGGAGAGAGAGCTCTTTATTACTAACCAAGGCTTATATACCTGTGGGGTGCGCAAGTTCCCTAATTACAGGTAAAGACATACGTCACAGGAAGGGCTTGTACTGTAGGTAATATAGTAATGGGAGGGGGACGATCTAGGGGTACACACGCTATAGGAAGAGGAGGGATTGGGGCACACATGTGACAAGATGGGCAGATCCTAGATTCAGGATGGCAGCCTAATCTTGGATGTCACTGAGCAGGTTTGACCTGTTCTCTGGATCTCCATGGAAACAATTATCAGTAGGCGTGAACCCCACCTACCAGTGAACCAGACTGATGGCTGAATGCCTTCAGGGAGAATATCTCTAAGCATTTGACCTCCCACCATGTGCTGGCAAACAGCCTCTAATGTTTGGCATATCTTTGGGGGAGACAAAGCTGGGGAAAGTCTTTTTATATCCCACGAGTCAGGTTGTATGCACGCTGCCCTGGGACTGAGGGGCGCAGAGCACGTCAGGGGGGCTGAGACCCGGTCCTTTACGGAGTCTTTAACCCACACCCAAGCTCTCGAGAGTCCGTCTGGGCAAGTCGAACTGCTCTGCTGGATTTCGGAGGCTTGTCAGTCTTTCCTGGAGAGACTCTCACCCTGGTCCCATTTAGCAGCTGGTGGGTGCCCCATCTCCATCAAAGCACTGGGGGCACTAGGCGGGTGTCTGCCTTGGTGCTTCCTGGGGCTCCTCACTGTTAGCAGCCCAATGCTTAACCCAGGGTTGCCCGTAGGGTGAGAAAGTTGGGCTCTGCTATGAGCTGTCTGGGCAGCCTGGAGCAGTCATGCCACTCCATGCTTCTGTTTCCCTGGCTAGGGACGTGGGCACAGCCACAGGACAGGTGGTCTCAGACTGCGAGCAGGGTCCGGGAGGGGAGCCCAGAAAGCACCGAAGCAGATGCCCACCTGGTGGCCTCCAGTGCCAATTTGGACAGATGGGACACTCTTTTTCCCATCGGTCAGCTGAGCCCCGGGTTTTGTAACTCCCTGGGGTGCGGAGTCACTGCCTGTACTGGGCCCTGCCGCTGGGTCGTCGGTCTGGCAGGGTCTGAGACTTGGTTTCGGTTGTTGACTGGAGGCTTCAGACACCTCTGTGCCTTTCCCAGAAGCTCCAAAGTGGCTTCAAGTGGATGAGTGGACATCACCCGCAGGCCTGTGCCTGCCCATGCGTGCTGGTCAGGGCAGCCCAGTGTCGAGGGCCTCTCCACTCCCTGCTATCTTCCTGTCCGATGCCCTGTGCGGGAGGACGAGTGCTAGGTGGTGGTGTGTGCGTGTGAGTGTGTATGTAGGGGCGTATGTATGTGCACGTGTGTGTTCACAAAGAGGTGTTTTTGCCGTGTGCTGGTCCTGTGCCCCGCCCGGCCATGGTCACGCGGCCCTGGCCATGTAGCTTGCTGTGCTCCACTGCCCCTGGCAGCCAGCACGTCTATGACCTGCACGTCTGCAGGCCAGGTCTCCGCTGGGGCCGCTCGCGGCTTCTCCGTTGTAGGCTCCTCACGGCCCCTTGCCCGTGTAGGTGTTGGATGGCGCCGACAGCCAGTGCTTGGGAATGCAGGCGAGCCAGCTGCAGGACGGCGAGGAGGACGCTGGTGCTCTGCCCAACGACGCCGCAGATGCCTTCCAGGGCTCGGCCGCTGGTGAGTGTGCTTGCCCAAGCCCGTGGCCACTCAGCCGTCTGCTGAGGGAGAAAGGCTTCCGTGTGTGTGGCTGGACTTTGGGGTTATTGGGGACTGGCTTCTCCTTGCTTCCTTCCTGTTCTTCTGAACGTCTGACTTAGACACGACTGCTGTGCCACCTTCTCACTGGGTGGGCCCTCTGTCTGTACAGCCCTCCAGCAGATGCACTTACTGAAGAGGACGGGCCATGGCCGGCAGGCCTCTGACAGCAGCACGGACACGTTCCCGAGAGAGGAGCCCACCGAGCCCGGTGACCAGGAGAATAAGGTCAGGCCCTGGCTCCGGTTGCTGTGCGGGCTTCTCCGGGCTGGGTCTCTGTCCCAGACAGCTCTGCTCTGTGCTGCTTGTGCCTCAAAACGTGCCTGTGGCCTGTACTCTGTGAACCCTCGTGGGGGGTCACAGGGGTGTTCAGTTGCATGACTGCTGTGGTCACCGGCCCGTGGAGGGCTGTGAAGGCAGACCCAGTGCAGAGGCCCCTGTGTCTGGAGGGCGGGGCCCACAAGTAGACCGTGTCTGCCTGTGTTGTGCAGCCACACAGCATCCTCCCATGGCCTCTGCCACCGAGACTCTGCGCACCCCACCCCCTCCCACCCGGCTAGCCCGGCGGCTGGAAACCAGACAAACACAGGGCGATGTCTGTAGGCAGCATGATGTGTTCATGGGCACCTGTACTCGGGCTGTTGAGGGGTCCTCCACAGTGTGGGCGGAGCCCCTTGTGCTCGGTTCTCACCTGCGGTGAACCTCCTGGCAGGCACCCTCCACCATCAGCTCCCATGGACAGTGCCGCAGCCAGCAGAGTGGCACAGGCTCGTCCCACCCCACGTTGTTGGCCTTGACACACAACACTTTTCCTGAGACCTGCTTGGCCCACGGACCTGCAAGCAGCCCTTCCAGGGCCTTCCACCCCCCCACCCCTTCCAAGGAGGGTCTTCCTGTCACGTGTACCCCTGAGCAGCCTCTCTAGAGCCTGCCTCAGCTGCCTTTTCTCCGGGCACCTACCGCAGCACACCTGCCCCCGCCCGAGATGCCTGTCTTTGGAGCCCTGCCAGCACCTGGCCATTTGGGCATGAGCTCGCGCATGAACGAGTAGTCCTTTGGGCACGAGACAGATACGAGTCAAGGTCCTATGTTCAGCCTTGCAGAGTTAGAGGTGACATAGGACAGGCCACTGACGACGATGCTGCCCCCCTGGTCCACTGTGTCCGCCTGCTCTCGGCTTCCTTTTTGCTGACGGGGGAGAGGCACGGTAGGTCTCGGGGGAAGGTGCCGCGGTGGAGAAAGCCTACGCCAGGGGGGCTGGCGAGCTGGCCTGGGCAGGGGGGCGGGACAGGGGGGCTTGTTTGAAGATGAATTGTGTGCCGCTTTGAGGTCGCGTGACTGGTGGTTTCTCCGCAGCTCTGGTGCCTGACCGGGATGTGAGAGTGAGCGTGAAGGCCCTGGCAGTCAGCTGTGTCGGGGCAGCTGTGGCCCTCCACCCCGAGTCTTTCTTCAGCAAACTCTACAAAGTGCCCCTTGACCCCAGAGACTGCCCTGGTACGTGGGGCGTTCACGTCCGAGTCTGCGGCATTTTGGAAGTCACTGCCAGCGGTCAGCTCGCAGACTGTGGGCTCTGGTGTGTCCCTAGAGAGTGTGCATACCGGGTACAGAGGGCTGGCCTGCCAGGTCCAGGGTTGTAGTTGCACACACACAACTGGACGCGGGAGCCTGGGCGTGTGGGCGTGTCGCTCACTGCGAGGCAGTCCTTGCAGAGCGCATATCCACGCTCAGGGCCCCGGGCAGGTGGAGGGCTGAGCTCGGCAGCGGCTTTTTCTGCCGCCTCTCGTGCACGCGGGGGGCCTGCCCGCTCCGTCTCTGGGCATCGGGTGCCCTTGGGTTGGTGAGGCCTGGGTGATGTAGTGTGTGTTTTGAAGACCATCTTGGGTTTTGGGGATTGAACCTGTTCTGTTGGCACGACACCAGGGGTGATGCCCCAGACTACCTCAGAGCCCAGCGCACTGTACACTATAGTCTCTGCCCTTGGCCACCTTCAGAGTTGGTCTCCCCTCCCCACTCCTGGGTGGGGGGTCGGCAGGGCGGGGACACGTGCCAGCGCGGCCCTGTGTCTCCCCAGAGGAGCAGTACGTGTCGGACATCTTGAACTACATCGACCACGGCGACCCGCAGGTCCGAGGGGCCACCGCCATCCTCTGCGGGACCCTCATCTACTCCATCCTCAGCCGAGCCCGCTTCCACGTGGGCGACTGGCTGGGCGCCCTGCGCAGCCTGACCGGTGGGTAGCGGGACGTGTGTGCTGGGCCTCGTGGCGTCCAGGGCTGCGTCCCCATGGATGCGCTGTTGCTTGCTCCTCTGGTCAGGAAACACGTTTTCCCTGGTGGACTGCATCCCTCTGCTGCAGAAAACCCTGAAGGACGAGTCCTCGGTCACCTGCAAGCTGGCCTGTGCCGCCGTGCGCGTGAGTGTCCCTGGGGCGCCGTGCACGGGCTGCAGTCAGGAGCAGTAGAGAGTGAAAGAGGAAAGGCAACAGCACTGCACAGAACTCGTTCCGTGTTCGCTCCTCACCGTGTTTGTTGGACACATACCTCTTACAAGGGCCTGTGTGGAATTGTGCTCTGAGAGCCTCGGGTGTAGGTTTGGTTTGTTGAAGAAAGACTCTGGCTGTAATCTCTGGGCACCCTCCCACGTGTGCACGCCGTGGGGGTCTGTAACACATCAGCTGCTCTGCAGGGCACCGCTGGCCAGCCTTCAGAGCGGCGATGACCTCCAACGTGTGTCAGGCGGGCAGGAGACTGCCATGTCTTCTTGTGAGCAGAGGGTGGCGTGCCAGCAGCACCGTGACAGTCTGCTCCCCTGACTCTGCCGGGAGGGCAGCCTGAAGCCCAGGACTCAGCCACCTTCCCAGGGCCCCCAGTGGACATCCCTGTAGTAGAGAACAGGACTGCTCCCAGGGTCTCCCAGACTGCCATCTGATGAGCGCTGTGGTGCTGGCGGATGAGCAGTGCAGGGTGGGGCGGCGGGCGAGGGTGTGAGGAGCGCGTGCTGAGGGCCCGTGTGTCATTCAGCTCTGCGTCATGAGTCTGTGCAGCAGCAGCTACAGCGAGGCGGGCCTGCAGCTGCTCATCGACCTGCTGGCCCTGAGGAGCAGCGCCTACTGGCTGGTGCGCACGGAGCTCCTGGACACCCTCGCGGAGATCGACTTCAGGTGACTTAGCCTGGCAGCCCTTCCGAAGGTAGCCAAGACAGTGGCGGAGGCAGGCCCGGGGGGCTGGCTCTGAGGATCACGCTGCACAGGAGGGCCAGAGCTGTACACTCTGCTGACTCTGTGACAGGCACCCATTCGGTTGGTAGACAGGAGAGCTGGCATGTCTGGGCTTGGCACTGAAAGCGGCTGTGGGTGGTGCAGCTACCCTCACCCTAAAAGGGACTTTGCCCTGGATCGGTGTCCAGGCTGGTGTTCTTTTGAAAGTGCTGTTTACCGAGGGCCTGCGACTGTGTCATCCCCAGGCCTCGTTGGTCTTGTTCTTAGACCCATTCACACCAGAGACCCCGCACCTGCAGGGCTGAAGCTGCCTCACACCACGCCGCGGCTGGGGGGGGGGGGGGCGAGTACCGGTTCTGCACCAAAGGATGCCCTTGTGGCATAGTATTTAGGTGCTCGGCTACTAACAGAAAAAGCAGCCCCCCCTCCACTTGGTGGAGAAAGCGAGGGGCTCCCTCCAGCTGGGCTGCCAGAGCCCCGGGAGCAGGTCTTATCCTTCTCTCGGCCGCTGGGAGCTGGAAACTCCTGGGCACACCGCGGGTCTGGTGGTTGCTTAATGTGTGTTTCCAAGTTAAAAGATGGCCTTCTGAATTCTGGTGGCCTGTCAGTGAGGCCTCTGCGGCCCTCGTGGGTGTGGGCGTGGACGTGGCCGAGCCGGCCCAGGAGCACCTGTCCAGCTGGGGCAGTGTCGGGCTCTTGCCGCCTGCCCACCTCGGCTCTCCTCTCTAGGCTGGTGAGCTTCCTGGAGGACAGGGCGGGGCACCTGCACAGAGGGGCGCACCACTATACCGGGGTGAGTAGCCACCTCCAGCTGCGGGGGTGCGACTGGGAATTGCTGCTGGGTCACTCTGAGTGGGTCAGCGCCCAGTTAGAGAGGCAGTGTCTGACTTGGTCCACCACTTTCCTTAAAGCTTTTACAGCTGCAAGAACGAGTGCTCAGGAACGTTGTCATCTGTCTGCTGGGCGACGAGGATCCCAGGGTGCGGCATGTGGCCGCGTCCTCCCTGGTGAGGTATGTCCCCTCCGGTAGGCGGGGTGGTGTCCCTGGAGCAATGGAGGCCCCTCTTGGCCCTTGTGTTGACCGAACCCGTCCCTGCCATGCACTTGAGAGGAAGGGCCGTGACACGCAGCACCTGTTTCCCTCTTGCAGGCTCGTCCCCAAGCTGTTCTACAGGTGTGGTCAAGGACAGGCCGACCCTGTGGTGGCAGTGGCTCAGGACCAAAGCAGCGTGTACCTGAAGCTCCTGATGCACGAGACGCAGCCCCCGTCCCACCTCTCCGTCAGCACCATCACCAGGTACTGGCCCCAGCTCCGGCACAGCGCTGCCCAGGTGTGGTCTGCCCTCCTTGGAGACGGTGTTCCTCTTTCCAGACAGCTTGTCCACCTGAGCTTTTCTCTGTGCTCGTGGGTGGGCACGTGGAGAAGACACGGCGGGGCGGGGCTGGCGTCTGCAGCCTGGAAAACCCACAGGGTAGCCCTGCTCCGTCCTTTCTGTGGTGCTGAACCTGGGGGTTTCGCCCCCTTCTGTGTCAGGGCATGGTGGTGGGCCTCACCACCATGTGAGGGTTTCCACAAGGGTCCCTGTCGGGAAGGGTCATCTGCTGCTCCAGAGACAAGCACATACTGCCGTTTACATCTGCCCTGAGGGGCGTTTGAATCGTCGCCGTGTGCCCCCCAGACAGGCAGCATGGAGTGCCGAGGAATCCCGGGAGACTGCCTTGATGAACTATCATGTTTCTGGGGAATTTCTGTGCAGAGAGACCACTGAGATGCCGGCTCGGCAGTGCCTGCCTCACACGGGGGGCTGTCCGCCACCCTCTGTCCACAGAAGGGCAGCTTGTAAAAAGTGTAGTGCTTCTTCCAACTCTAGAGCTTGCCTTGTCAGATCTCAAAGGCATCGTCTGTAAATAGCCGCAGTCTTTTAGACAGAACAACTATAGAGACCACACCAGAAAACAGCCCAGCTACAGGCCGGGCGGGCCCATCTCTCCCCCACCGCAGGCAACCCCAGGGTTTCTGCAGACGCCGGCTTTTCACACCACCCCTCCGGTCCAAGGCCCTGTGACACATGCCCACATTGTGGACGTTCTTCTAATGCTGTCGCTTAGCTCTCAGCCCACAGTGCAGGGCAGCATCTGTGTGCGCTGGGAGAATGACATCGGTGAGAGTCGGTGCGGTCCTCGCTCTCCTGAGGCCACCACCTCGCCGAGCCTGCCTGGTGTCCCTTCCAGAGACCGCCTCACCCACCCTCAGGGTCGGCCTCTTCCATCTGCCAGACTGATGGTCGCTCTGCTCCCAGATTGAGCAGAGCCTGACAGAGAGGACCGGGCAGGTATCAGACCCTCCCCGAGGCAGTGGTCTTATGTACTGTATATCCTCAGGTATAAGCCGCGTTTTCAGCATATTTTTATGCAGTTTTTGCCCCGACGGATATTCGGGTTGGCTTACAGTCAATTATATATGGTAATTAAACCTGTGTGCTAGCTAGCTGCTACTGTGGAAAATTCCCAGTTCTGGCCGGCACCTGCCCCCTTGGCACCCGGCTCAAAGTATGTCCCCAGGGTACAGCTGTATCTGCTGTGTGGGAGTCTCTGAGTCCAACACGAGCTCTCTGTGGGGAGTGGGGGGCCTGGCTGTGAGTGGTGCACAGAGGCAGTGCTGGGTGCCGGGTCAGGGTGGCTGCCTTTGTTATCTCTGTGGGGAACTCTGACAACACTGCCTTACTTCTGGCAGGAAGAGGTTGCTGATCAGCAGGTGTCAGAAGAGGAGACTGGGCGGCAGGGAGGGGCGCTTTCACAGAATGATCTCCACTCTTTCTAACCTAACTGTCCAGACTGTCTTAGCGTCTCCTCGCCTGTCATGTGGAAACCCAGAGTGTAGATGGTGTCTTTAAGACTGTCTTGTTGTCCTCTTAGAATCTACAGAGGCTATAACCTGTTACCGAGCATCACTGACGCCACTCTGGAGAACAACCTTTCCCGCGTGATTGCCGCCGTGTCCCACCAGCTGACAACCTCGACCACACGCGCTCTCACCGTACGTACGTCTTTCCTGCTGCTCCTCACCGCCAGCCCCGGGTACCTTGGCGGCTGGCTCTGGGTGGCAGGGGTTGTTAGTGACAGACTCCGTAGATTTGAGTAGAAGCTGCAGAACGGTCTGATGTTGGTGATGACAGTAACACACCCTCGCTGGAGCAAATGGTCTGTGGAGGAGGCGGGAATGTGAGAGTAATGCTGCCCGATGTCAGCGATTGCCAGAGGTGGCGCTCCCTGTCTGCTGTGAGAGCTTCTGGAATCTAAACTGCCGGACTCCACCTGGGGCCGAGGGCTGGGCCTTGGATCCCCAAGCGCACCCTCCTGTCAGAGGTGGGGCGACGGAGACAGACGGGGAGCGCTGGCTGGGAAGCACATTGCTGGCCAGGCTTTCTTAGTTGTCACCCCGTGCGGAGGGCCTCGCGGTAGGTCCAGAACCCACCTCTGAGCCCGTGCTGGCAGGAGGCTGGCTGCTTCACTGGCTTCCGGGACTGCAGCTCCTTCCTTCCAGCCCAGGAGACCCCACACATGCCAGCAGGAAGCTGGGCACCCTCAGAGTCCTGTGCTGAGTCAGACCCTGTGGGACTGCCGGCTCTGAGTTGAACATAACCTGTTTCGCCGATGCCCCCGAGTGTGAGCAGAGCAATGTCCCATCTCTGTTTTATGGCCCTGTAAGGAGCGCAGACGTGCGGGACAAATCGCCCTGTCACAGCAGGGCGCTGATAATTTTCACAGGGCTGTGCCACCCTCGCCCCAGTCTTAAATGTGTGGGCCCCTTTGATAAAATGCTTCAAGGCCAACTGAGCTGCTTCTGGGAATACCCGGGGAGCTGCCTGGGGGTGGCAGCCACTGGGCTGGGCCTGGGTGGTGAGTGCGCAGCTGGAGCACGTGGGAGGTGCTGGTCCTTGGAGACACACGTGCCTCTGAGTGACGGAGGCTGAGAGCGGCACTGCCCCAGGCTTTCACGGTGGTGCAGAGCCTGTGCGGGCTGGGCTTGCTAGCTCTGGGAGAGCCGTGCATCCCGCCGCAGCACCAGGGCTCCTGTCAGGCTGTTAACACGTGAACTGAGGGCCTGTGAGCTCATGCACACACTTGTAGAATTTAAATGTCTACATTTAATGGGAAAAATCTCACACGGCGGAGGAAGCAACAGCAGGAGAGGCACCAAAACAGACTGGTGGACCGACCCTGCACCGTTTCAGGGGTGGCAGCCGAGGAGCAGGGACCGGCGGTCAGGAAGGAAGACACTTAAGCTGCTCGGAGAGCCTCAGCCAGAACCGCGCCTCCAGAGGTGGCTGGGATACCGACCGGGATGCTTCCATACCGGGAAGCTCCATAAGCGCCCATTTTTGCCAAGAAATTTGGAAGGCAGTGCCCTGGCCAACTGACTGGGAAAGACCCAGACTTGTGCTCTCTGCAAAGATAGGTAGCCCAATGATCTAAAAATTATAGCACAGTGCCTTTGTGTCACACGAATAAAATGCTGTCCGAGGCTCAGGCCGGGTTCCGAAGAGGACGTGGGACAAGGGGTATCACTGCTGATGGCAGATGGAGCTTGGCTGAGGACCAGGGAGATGTTTACTTGTGTCTTACTGATTAGGCCGAGTCATTCAACTGTGTGGATCTTAACAATCCATGGGTGGTCTTGAAGGAGTGGGAATTCCAGCGCACTTCCTGGTGTGTCTGTGGAACCTGTACGTGGGTCAGGGGCAGTGGTGTGACCCGAGCAGGGTTGCACTGCGTGGTTTCAAATCAGGAAAGGTGTCCTCTCCCCACACTGATCCAGCCTGCATGCTGCACATACACAGGAGCTGGCTTGTACGGAGACGAGGAAGGCTTGTGAACTACTTGTGGTGCACAGATGACCCAGCTGTGGCCTGATGAAGCATGCGTGTATATGTACTTGCCATATTCTCAGAGAAATGATTGGCAGAAATTGTCAAGATGACAATTGGATTGGATGGTTTTGTTCCTTACTGTTTCAGATACAAATGTTCTAAAATGAGCCAGCACCCTTTTATGATCCCGTCTTAGGGTGCTGTACCAGCTGGCGGGCTAACCTGTGCTGTCCTGGCTCTGGTGGAGAGCTCCGTGCTGCTGTACAAGTTACTGTGATCCAGGGGCTACCTCTGTGCAGTCATGTCTGGGTTGGCATGTGCACTGGGACCCCTCAGGGCTTGGGATGGAGAAGCGGCGGGATGCCTACCCTCTGCTTTCTGGGGTCTGGCCAGCTTGAGCAGACCAGGGCCAAGGAAGGCAGACAGATGGCAGACAGGACCACAGCCAACTGACAGCTCCTGGCCAGGCATGGCTGACTTGTCCTGAGTGTTTCTGTTTCGGTGTGAATTTCAAACATGCCAGGGTCAGCATTCTTCTCAAGTAATCTGGCTTCTCTGAGAATCTGCTCAGCGTACAGATTGAGCAAGGCTGGTGGGAGGATACAATCCCGACACTCCTCTCCTGATTTTAAGGCTGCAGAAGGGTAGCTGCGTTTGAATAGTGCTGGAGGAGACTACTGAGAGTACCATGGCCTGGTCTGTCTGAGAAGTACAACCTTAGAGGCAAGGATGGCGAGACTGTGTCTCACATGCTCTAGACAAGTGGTCAGGGAGACCAGCTCCTGGAGGAGGACATCGTGGTTGGTCACGTGGAGGGTGGTGGAAAAGAGCACGGCCCTCGAGTAGCTGGATGGACGCAGTGGCTGCGTCCGTGGGCTCAGGCCCAGGACCTGGTGCTGTTCCACTCTGCTCACAGGACCGCTGTGAGCAACGACAGGGTCGTCATCCGACAGTTAGAAACCACTCACAGAGTGACGGTGTGTGCTTTTTGTGGGTGAGTGAAAGCTGCTTCTGAGCCCCAGTGGGAGGGCTGCTGTAACTTCACTGCTCTCTCCCCCCCTGCCCCCCAGTTCGGGTGCTGCGAGGCGCTGTGTCTTCTGTCCACGGCCTTCCCGGTGTGTGTCTGGAGCCTCGGCTGGCACTGCGGGTATGTATCTGCTCACGTGTCCCTGCTACCGGGACCCTTCCGCTGGTGGGGGAAGACTTGGCGTGCTGGGCCTTGTGCAAGAATGCCAAGAGAACACTTGCTTCTCTGACCAGTGATGCAAGCTGTTGTAGGGGGGCTGTGGCAATCCCAGGGCACGTCTGCTGGTCCTGCAAAGCACTTTGGGGCACGTAGGGGGTGACCTGCAGGTCCTCCTATACCAGTGGTTCTCGGGGCTTCAATGACCCTTTCACAGGGGTCACCCGATTCATATCAGTAGTAAAATTAGTTATGTCGTAGCAACAAAAATGATTTATGGTTGGGGGTCACCACAACATGAGGAACTGTATTAAAGGATAGAGGCGTTAAGAAGGTTGAGAACCACTGTCCTACACAAACACGCATGCCAGCAAATGGGTCCTCTCCCAAGCGGTCCACGGACAAGGCGTGCTTTAGGAACGCGTGTACGTACTGATGTTAGCTGTTCTGACTTGCTTAGAGACGATTTTGTCCGGCGGATGGCCCTCCTGGTGCCGCGAGGTCGGTCGTGGTGGTGGTGGTGGGCTCTGCGGCGTTACGGGTCAGTGTTGAGGATGCAGCCCAGGGCCGGGGAAGCGTTGTGGCAAGGACTGGGTCTGCATGTCAGTCCACAGCCTTCGCGCCCTGGCTGTGGCCAGTGCTTGGGAGTCTGCAACGGGCTGTCATCGCCCATCTTGCTTGAGTCTTGCCTCCTTTTGCCAAATACTTCCTGAGCAGCTCGTCTTCTCCTTCCACTCCCACACTGGCCTTTTCAGTGACGGTAGCACGGGAGTAGAAGCTGCTGAGTCCAAGCGGGAGGAGGAGAGCCAGGGAGTGAGCATGAGGGCTGGTGGTGAGGGCGTTCACCATGGAGGTCTGTGCTACATGAACAGTGTAGCAAGGAAGCTGCTCGGAAAAAGAAGAAACGAAGACACCAAACGTGACCTGTGGTGACCGTGGTGACGGAGGACGCGTCTGCTGAGGGACACTGAGTTCGTCTTAATGGTGGTGCTGGAACAGTTTGGACAGGAGTATCAATAATGGTTGTACAACAGGAAGATAATCACGTGTACAATGTATATAGTGTATAATCAATGGCACTAAATTATACAGGTAGAAGTTGTTGAAGTGGAGAGTGTTTTGTGTATATTTTTGCCAAAATAGAAAAAATAAAAATCAGTACAGCCCACAATGAACATGGGGAAAAGCGAATGTTCTAATGTTGATTTCGGTCAAGAGCTGTGCGCCTCTTGGAGCCGTAGAAGTGTTGGACTGACTGTAAAGGGCTGTGCGCCTCTTGGAGCCGTAGAAGTGTTGGTCTGACTGTAAAGGGCTGTGCGCCTCCTCTTGGAGCCGTAGAAGTGTTGGACTGACTGTAGTGGGCTGTGCGCCTCCTCTTGGAGCCGTAGAAGTGTTGGACTGACTGTAAAGGGCTGTGCGCCTCTTCTTGGAGCCGTAGAAGTGTTGG